CGCCTCAAGATACAGAAATATTACACCAAATATCCTTAAAAAAACCTGGTTCAATAACCTACACTGGCTACACTTACATAGACCATATATAGTACAATTTAATGGGCTACGCATAGGACATCACCTTCTACCCAGCCACTCCTTTAAACTTGGTCTTAATGATTCTCCATTGTGTACTCTTCACCTGAATGAATGCATTTGTGACTTATCCCATATTCTACTTGACTGCCCTACCCTACAACTCAAACGCATTATTTTAGTTAAAGAACTTAAGACTCTTGATATCCCCTTAAATATCCACTCCATACTTAATACAAAATCTACTACCGCCATTAAATTAATAATTACCTTTATATTGGATGCTGGCTTTATTATTTAATATGTATTATAATGTTTAATGTATAATGTTGTTTTATGTATTATCTCTGTAATAGTCGAGCTGTCATAGTTGTATACTAATAGCTAATAAAAAAAAAAAAAAAAACTAACACCATCTAGTGTACTATTTACAAGCTGTGTCAAAATTTATTTTCCCTCGGATTTTGTATTTATAAATTAAATCAATATTATTATTTTTTATTACATTATATTACATTATAAACCTAAATTAACTTGGTTTCAAATAGTCATCTTAAATTTTATTCGCATTAGTTTTCATAAGACTTATGTGACTTATTGTTTTTTGTAATTTTGCATCATTTTTTAAAACCGTCTCAAGTTCAAGGTTCAAAATCTTTAAAATTTTAATTTTGAATCCCAATAGGTAGTTACTAATAATACATTTAAAAAATATTTAAACATCTATATCATATGCCTATTTTCATACAGATTATGAGAGAACATTTCCAAGTAAATTTGTTAGCGTTAATCGAGGCATTATAGTTAATTCAAATTGGTCTATTAAATGCATATGTACCTAACTAACAAACCTACAATTTTCATAATTACAAAAAAAAAAAAACTATCTTCTAAGAAATACCCACAGCGACCTCTATGAAGTACAAACTTTACTAGTATTTAATTTGTATAATAAAAAATTAAATAAAATAATAATTAGGTAGATTGGTATTATTGAAGCGATACATTTTTTGACATTTTTTGACATAATGATAGGATGGGTTTTAACACCGTCCTTTACGTAAAAGCCTTAGTTAGGTATACTGCTATAGATAGCTATAGCTAATCGTGGTTACTAGTTACTTAGCACTGTAGTAAGTAGTATATAAACACACATTTTTTTAGCAAATAAATCAGTGACTGCACACTATTTATAGAATAAAACATTAATACCGATCCCAGATAGAATAAAATGGGCATGATAAAAGTATTTAATTTTTTTTTTACTTTTGTAAAATTTAAATCCTAGTTTTGAATTTTTCTCAAGCCTCGACACTTCTAGATTTTTGTATTAAGTTATAATTTTTCCATTAAAACTAAAAACAATATTATTGTGAGATGTAGGAAAAAATAATGAACTCGCTATAATTCAATAAATAAGACTGCGTCAACAGCAAAAGCTATAATGTTTTCATTTATATCTAATTCAATTAAATCGTTTACATGCATTTATTAAGAACCTAAAACTGTTTCTTGTGGAATACCGTATTTTAAAATATTTGGGTCACTTGATGATTCATTGATTTGTACTATTTGAGATTTCCTATAGAGATAAGATTAAACCAATAAAAAAATATTTTTTCCCTATAATTTGTTTTAACTTATATAATAATTCATTTATGAGATATAGAATCAAAAGCTTTTGCTCCATCTAGAAAAATACATAAACATAATGTATCTCTATCAAGTGAAGTGTAAGTTAGATTTGATAAGTATTCTATACCATACTCTTTTCCAGTATGTTCCCGGAATCTAAATTGCATTTCATACATTGCATGTTTACTAGCTATACATTTTTGTAGTTGAACTTTTGCAAATTTTGCGGGCACTTCAGAAATTGTTTAAACTGATATTGGCCTGTAATAAGTTCTATGGCGTTATCACTAAGGAAACACGTAGGAACCACTTTGTTTTTAACTGTTTAAGGACATTTTCATTTTTTAAATTTTTTTAGTTTTTCTTCTATAAATGTCAATAAAATTGTATTTGTAGGATCAAAACTCTTTAAAATGTGATACAAGGCTAATGATATATTGTGCTAATAGCAGTTGAAAAATATTAAAAATACATACGCACGATTTTTTGTTATAAGCATTTAAAGTTTAAATGTTGACAATATTTTTCAAATTGAAAATTGATAATGATTTTGTAGTTAAAAATGTATACAATTTTCAATTTTTATAGCTAACGATTGAACCTTTAAAACAAGGTTTCACTTAAGAAGTTTTTTCCATAAATAAAGAAAATCTCAAAAATATATGAATACAGTTATTTCTTACAGACATTTTAAGTTCAAAGTTGGATAAAATGCCATATTAACACAAAGAATAGGTAACTTTTATCATTTTGATGTAATTTGGTTCCAAAACAGCTCAATTTTACATTATTATATTTAATATTTTTCAAGCATTACTAATAATTTAAGAATAATATAAATTCAATTTACCGTAGTAAGTAATAACAATATAAAATATCCTAGGTTGACATACCTCAGAATCGTTTTTCGTATATAATGATTTGATATCATTGAATTCAAATTTAATACCATCTATATACAGTGACCTCTTATTAGACACCTAATATACTATGTACAACAGAGCGACATCCACTTCCCTTTTTTTTTTTTGATTCTTAAGACTTATTTGCTTGCGGGCACCCGTTCTCTCCTTCCCGTTTGTCCTATAATTTAACTCTAATTGATTTTTGTGTATGCATTTTTTAAACCTTGATAACCATTTGGATTAATCCATCAACTACTAATTGCATTAGCCCGGTACTGAGTAGGGTGATCGTTAGGTTGGAATACCTTCAAATGTGTGGCAAATGGCAATGATGTGTTGCTAAAAATCAAGTGACCCATCTGACTATCCGAGTGCTAGTAACGACGGCCGGTAATGCAGATTGAGAGTACGACCGCGCCTCATCAAGCTACTGTTTATATTTTATTTCAATAACTTATAAATATTTTACCAACTAATTTCATAATATTATTAAATTCCGAAGTTCTGAAACATTATGTTCAAGAAAACAATAGATAAATAATATTACAATTAGAGTTATATTGTAATGTATTTACTTTTAAAATAAATAAAATTAAAACTATTGTACTTTAAATTGCATTAAAATACGTGTTTATGTTTTCTATAGGTATACGAGTAGTAGCGTACCCAGTAGGAAGGGGGCCAAGTTAGCTTCAATCCTCCCCCTCCCCATTGGCCGTGTTATGGTTAACATAATATATTTATACCTAGGTATTTAAGTATAATATATAGATATGCATATCTGTGGCTATAATCTTCTCTATTACGTAGCCATGGGTTAATATAAATATGTGGTTTGTGCACAGATTGCAGCTTCGTTTTCTAATACTTATAAGGGAAACATAGTATAACCCATAGAGGATGGAATAACCGCCTTGCCACATTTACAACCACGAATAAAAAGAACCTAATTCTTAATAGCTATAAGGGCATCTCAGCCACCTTGGTAGGCTTTTTATAGAAATTTGATTTGTTGCATACTCATCATGCACCTCATCTGCCCAATTAACCAATGGAAACCAAAAAACAAATAAAACACTAATTTCTGCTAAACAATTAAGAATAGATTGCTGAATTTTACCTTTCGGAACAAATCATATCCACAGGCAGTGGTCGAAATGGCTCAAGATGAGACAAGTGGAGGGATGCCTTACAATTCAGATTTTCTGATATCATCATAACATTCTTCATACCTTGTATAGTATTTTTTTTTTTATAATTCACATTTTGTTTATGCGTTGTCAGAATATTACAATCTTTTTCTATCATAAATAATCTTTAAGACTAAACAAATAAATAACATATTTTCAAATTTAGTAGCAAAAAAACTGATAAAATATTTTATTTATGATATTTTTCTGTGGAAATTTTAGATTATATAGTTAAATTTGTAAATTGTAATTAATATTAACAATATAATATGTAATATAACAAAATATATTAGTATTTATTATTATTATTATAAAAGGCGCTACCGTACGAAACCCTACGAAACGGCCTTTACGAAAAATAAAAAGTTTTCTTATACATAGATATAATATAAAAATCATAATACTTATTTCATTTTAAAACACAAGTCTTAGGAGGAATGCGTTATTCTAGACAAAATAAGTAGAGGGATGAAAAATGTAAATACAAAAAAGTAGAGGGATGTCATCCCTCCGTATCCCCCCCACTACGACCACTGTCCACAGGCCGATCAAACACAAAATTTGATGGACAACAAGGTCAGGTTGCTGATAGCTGGAAACGCGATGGCCTGGTGCCATACAATATGCAACTTTCTAAATTTTTTCTTCCATAAGAAGCTTCTCTTGTCAATAACAGTTATAACGAAAAAAGAATTAGCGAAATCGGTCCAGCCGTTCACGCGTAATGCAGTGACTAAGGGAAAAGTTGATTAATTTTTTTAACTATAACTTCTTTTTTTAACTTAAATATAAAAGTTAGACATAAGTTGTAGCTGGCTTTTTTACAGGCATTATCAAACTCTACAACTTTTCTCTGGAACTCAATCATATATCTCTCTTCGTTAAGACAGCTTTCGTAAGAAACGTTTTCGTTCGACCGTTTTTTCTCCAACTTACTGTGCAATTCCGACTACCACAAAAAAGTCTTTTAGTTTGTTGGGTTAAGCCTAGGGTCTAGCCTATGACATTCACAAATAATGTGGCTTTCTATTGGTAAAAGAATTTTCAAAATCGGTTCAGTCAGTATATCCAGAGATTGAGAGATTACCCCTTACAACCTCACAAACTTTACCTTTTCATAATAATTTGTATGTATAGTATACAAGGTTAGATTACAAAAATTACTGATAACATACCACGTCTTACTGCTGGCGCCGTTGTAGATAGTACCTACTCTATTAGATAGTACTACTAATAGTAGACATTAGTTTAATAGTAAGTGTAGTCTGTGAATTGTGATTTACATTGTATCAAAGTATTCTAGTCTCTACGTCTCTACAGCAGCTGCAATACCGTCATATTCAAACCGCCACCCGTTTACATACCGTAGATAACAATCTAAAATGTCTAATACCTACCTTAATTAATATTCATTATTTATAAGAAAATAAAAAAATATTATGTCAAACCATTGTATTTAACCATTGTTTTTTGAGTCGTCTGGTATTCAATATTTCAATCGTCATTCACGAGCCAAAGTACAAACTAACATTAAAAATAATTATCATCAAATTATCTCGTTACATAAAACTTTAAAGTATTTGCTACATGCCTAATTGAATAATATCCGGAATATAATACTGTAATGACCCATGATTTATTCGCTAAGTTGCAATTAGGTGTGGCATAGGTAATTATCTCTTCTTTCACTCAGTCAAAAAGTATCCAATTGATAAATTACTAACTTCGTAATTAAAAAAAAAGAGTAAGATAAAATGAGTCCTAAAATATTTGTCAACATCTTGACTTCTCCAAAGTCTTTGTAAGTATTATAAAAGTATTTTTAATTATTTATTTAATTTCATTATAGTATCTAACAATTTTATTTATAATTGAACTGCTAACATATTGGTTAATAATTGTGCTAAACTATTTTATTCTGAGTGTAATAATGTAATATCGATTGGTATATAATTGCAATAATTATAATATGTTAGTATGTTACCCATTTAACTTTTCTAGTAAACAGTTGTTCTAGTATTTAGAAGTAGGGACATTTCCATATTTTTTAAGTTAAATAATAAATTTGTTAAAAAAAAAATAGTTGCCAGGACTTAATAATATGCCATACTGCCATATTCACAATTCTAGTGTTTATACCCATACACACTGCCAACCATAAATTAAAACCAATTTCAATACTTTGATAGGGCAGAAGTGTTTTAAATTTGTTTTTCAACTTTCATGTATTCTGTTAGATTAATAAACTAATACCTTTTCTATGCTCATTGCTTATTAGTTATTAACATCATATTATTATTAATAGATAACGATGAAAAAATATGATTAATAATTAAAATTACATTGATAATAAATTAATAGAGAATTATACCTAGATAGTAAAATATTATTTATCAATTTAATAAATTAAAATATTGGAAACAATTACCACTACAATTACTTGTCTTAGGATTATTTTAAATGATTCACTTTTAATCCCATTATCAATAATTAGAAATATGTAATTTCTTTCTCTCAATTCAAGAACTTATTTTTTATTATTAAGATAAGCTGGATAAATAATAAGAATTTGAATTCATGGTGAATAATGTGCTCTTAAGTTTCTAAATTCAGTAAGTGAATTATCACCTATTGGTTTAACTGTAAATGGTAGAAAAATTTAACTTTAGAAAGGCACATGATCAAATATCATTGTAAAGCTGTGTCCGGACCAGGAAGTATGTTTCTGATAATGTCATTTACACTCAATTATGTTACCGTTTATGAGGAGAAATCAGAAAAATTGTCGGGGACAAAATATATATCCTCGGTCTGGATACTACTAATAGCTGAATAAAATATTACAAAAAATTAATGAAATAATGCTGAAGAAATGAATCCCCACATTAGTTTTTAAAATTTTATCAACACAAAGACTTGATGGAAATATGTGCAAATCATAGTCTTACCATAAAATACCTACCTATTTTAGTATTTTTTTTTTCAATTACATACCTATTTAAAGTTTCAATTACAGATACTTTATTATAAATTTAATATTTGGATATTTTGTGATCATAATTTTAATTTTATAAAATATCAATAATTTTTGTAGTCCATAATATTGGTCTAAGAACATCTGCAAAACACATTAGTGACCAATAAAAATTAGAACTAACAAATTTATTAATTTATATAAATAACATAATTAACCTATAGAGTTTATATTAATTTTTAGATTTAAAAAACAAATAACATATGGAATATATGTTCAGCAAATATACAGACGCTGGAAGAATGAATCACATCTGCCGCCTAAGGACTTTAGTAATTTACAGACTATGCAAGACAGTAATTATTAGTTTATTATTCAAAATGCCTACTTAATTTTTGTTAGACTAAACTATATTTTAATTTTATTAAGTTAAACTAAAACTATCCAATATAATGGGTATATCTGGAAAATATGAAAATGAAGAAAGAGGATGGTTGGCTGAGTATTTGCCAAAGGAACAAAGTGACCTACCACCTCGCTCTATGAATGTAAGTTCATAAGTTATTAAAATGTATTTATATTTTTAAAGCAATCCAATTGACATTTTAAGTGCAATTTTAATTTGATAAATTAATAACAAATTATACAATATCTGTTATACATAATATTTGTAGGACAGTTTTGATAGAGCTATAGTTCCCTTGAGCACTAACTTGACATTGCAAAATAAATACACTACAACATTTAAAAGCTTACGAATTGGACGCCTTTTAGAAGATATGGATCTTTTTGCTGGTAAAAAATAAAAATAAAAATAGAATGTTAAAAAATATTTGATGTTATAAATAATTATAGTTTGGATTGTTATGAAGCACATTTATAATCCAATGCAACCATTGGATGTTCCAACACCATACGTTGTTGTAACATTACTGGTAGATGATGTTGTCATAAATGCTAATCGATTTGTAAGCTAATATTTTTAACGCTTAAAATTAAAAAATAATAATAATAAACAAGATTTTTTATTTCAGCCAGATAAAGACTTAATTCTTAGTGGGCAAGTAACTCATGTTGGGAAAACTTCATTGGAGGTTACTTTGTGGCTTGAACAATTAAATGATGATAAATTTGAGCGCATTACCAGAGCTCATTTTGTGTTTGTTGCCAGAGATCCAACAAATACATCATCTGTCATGGTAAATAATTTAGTACCAGTCGGAGAGCGTGAAAAAAATCTAATGATTCTTTCCGCAAGTAAATACAAAATTTTAAATTTTAAAAACAAATAAATGTCATGTTTTTTAGTCAAAAATAGATAACATTTACTAAATTTATTATTTAGAAAAAAACGAGGATAGAAAATTGGCTCGTCAAAATTCAATATTGAATAAAATGCCAACACCAGAAGAACAATCACTTATATACGACACATTTATGAAAACGGTTGACAGAAAAGAGCCAATAATTGGTAATAAAGTATTACCACAAAATAGTGTGTGGATGGATGATACTATGCTTGAGACTAACATTCTTTGTCATCCTGAAGTATATTATACCTTATAAAAAGTAATAAAATACTTGCAGACATTTATAACAATTTTTAATATTGTTTTAGGATCGAAACTTACATAATACAGTTTTTGGTGGTTATTTGATGCGTGTTGCTACTGAACTTGCATTCTTAGTAGCAAGTGCGCACAGCAAAACAAGAGTAACATTACAAGCAATTAATAGTATTACTTTTCGAAAACCAGTTCCAATTGGTAGCAAATTGAAATTAAATGGACAGGTATACCTTTAATTGTTATTCAATCTATTATTTAAATTAAAATAATCTCGACATTTTTCTAATTAATTCATTAGATATGTTATACCAGTGGTAGAGTAATGATAGTAGAAGTTATTGCCAAGGTCGAAGAACTTGAAAGTAAAAAAAGTTTAACTTCAAACTCATTTTACCATGTTTATGTTGCTCCGAATGATGTTGATTCAGTATTACCTCAGAACTATCATGGTAAAAATAATACATTTTGTAATTCATTAGACTAATAAAATAAACTTATTTTTTAGATTCTATGCTATATATTGATGGACGTAGACGGTACTTGGATTTTGTCAATCACTTAGAAAAAGGACAATCAGAGAGTAACTAACCTGATTGTGGGAATGGGGTTTATAATATTTTGAAGGAGTTTAATGACACATTCTAATAAACTAATTGATTAACTTTTAAGTATCTATGATAAGACATTTTAAAACTAAATGGGTGTTGGCAAACAGTCATTGTTCAATACCAAATTAAGTTTCAATAAAAAAAAAAAATTTTTTTTTATATAAAAGTTACCTCTTTAATTTTAAAAACTTAACATTTTTTAGTTTATAACTTGTTAACTAATAGTATTGTTTTGTAACTATTTGCGTAATAACTTTTTTACTATTATATCATACCTAGTATTAAAAATATTTGTATGCATTTTAAATCAACCTAATATTAGTCATGCGGAATTCATAGCATTAGCTTTAGCTGTCATAGCATGCAGGAATCATTAAAAAACAAGTATTTTTGTGGTACCGACAATTCTGTATGTTTGATCTCTATTTAAAACTATTGAGTTTGTACATACATAACAAATATATGATCAATAATCGTAATCATATGTACAACTTAAATGGATATTCTTGTCAAGAATCTTACAGGACGCAAGTAACATGTAGTTTAATCAAGTACATTATTGAATATTATGTGAATGATAGACGCTTATGCTGTGAATCCGGCATCATAAATATAAACATAAGTTCACTAATTACAATTATTAATCTATTAATAATTATCATCATCACTAGATGATATATCTGAGTAATGGTCTAATTGATCTAACCACCATTCGTGTATTTCCTTCACTGCATTTATAACTTTGGGGGTACTGGATCTTTGATCCCTTGAAGAAGTCGAGACATTTAGATTAGACATATTTAATGGTTTTAAGTTCCTGTATGAGGCTTTACGATTTTTTTCTTTATCTGAAGGATCTGATAAGGTTGGTGTCAAAAATTTGCGTCCAGATCCACTGCCAACACTATCTGAACGAGTAATTCCTGAAGTTGATTTGAGCTTTGAACGATTTGTATCACACTGAAATCAAACAAAAATGAAACAGGAATTTTTTTAAATCCTCTGTAATAAAATACTTTTAAATCTTTTTCTTCATTTTCTTTTTCATTGTTGGCAGCTTGTTTCTCTTCAAAATCCCTAAGCATCATTTCATTTGTTGCACGTAGGCCAGCTAATAGACTACCTTGTTGCCTCTGTAAAATAGTCAATCTTAATAATCACACCTTGAGAAATAATGCATTTCAATTTACATTAGCTGCTCTCATTTTTCGTAAGCACCCTTCCAGCCAATTACGTATGGTTTGTTTAGCAACTTCTTCTTGAATATTGACTTCAAAATCTTCACGTGCCACTAACTCTTCAAGTTGTAAAGCTTTTGTTATATCAACTGTGCGATATGATAACATACTATGTACAAATAAATAAATTATAAATAAACGTTGAATGCTATTTAAAGTATTTTTTAATTACTTTAAGACATCATGAAATGTTACTTCTTGTCCATTGTGAAGCCTTTCTAGTTCATAGCACATGTGTTTCAATAACATTTTTCCTTTTTGTGGATCGGTTTCTAATCTACCCTTCAATAGGCGTAACAAAAACTTCACCTATGAAAACATTAGTAAGCAGTTGCAAGTCTCATTAATATATTTTAGTATCAATAAGAATGTTACCAACTATTTTAAATGAAATAATTACATACAAGTAAATGTTCATGGCAAACCATTGTTTATTTTTATAAGATGTTATTTTCAGTTACCAGATGTACTTTAATTAAGTTATGGAAATCATTATTTTCTGTCAAACTCACCTTATATACTTGAATGACTCCAGCTTGTGTGTCGTCAACAATGTTCCACGAATGTTGGAAATTCCTAATGTCTGCATATGAAAGTAAAGCGTCCTCCTCGTTGGAATAAAATAGGGAAAAATTTTCCATTATAATTGCTGCAAGAGAAAATTAGTTTTTTGTCTTACACTGATAACTTGGGTCATTTATTAAGATTTTAATAACAAATAAATTACCAACTAATAGGTTAAGTACAATATATGTGATCATTACATAGAACGAACAGAAATAAATTAAAGCAGCAGCATAGTTTCCACAGTCTGTTTGCCAATAATTATCTGCGGGCGTACATTGTGGTGGTAATATCATACAGTCGTGCATGATTTTATTCCAATCTTCTCCAGTAACAATGCGAAATAACATAGCTACTCCAGTAACTGGAGAACCAAAATTTGCAAGTCTATAAAAATAAAAATATAAAACCAAAAATGTTCATAAAAATAACTCAATATAATGATAATTACCTGCCAATTCCTTCGCCATATTTTACAGTACCGAATAAAATAGTTCCAGCCAACGCATAGGAGAACACCAATAGAAACATACCAAATATAATGAAAAAGCTTTTACATACAGAAACTCCAACAGTCAACATGAGCATTTTGAGTGTTGCGTGTTTGCCTGTGATTGTAAAAAAGCGTAATACGACTACTATATAGCCAAATGAGAAAGATAATTCATTCTGAAATTAAAAAATCATTCAACATAAAATATAAATACAATTTAAAAATTAAAATAATATAGATGCAATCAAATATTTACATGGAATACAAAATGTGTAATAATCCAAATCACTCCTAGAACAGTGACTAAAAGATCATATCGATTCCGACGTGACTGCCAATATCCACGAGCAGTGAATGCTATCATTTTCATAATTACTTCAGCCACAAATATCAAAGTTAGAAATGCACTAACCAGTGATAAAGGTTCAGTATGTTGGTCTACTGCCCGCCACTATAACAATAATTAATTGATATGTTGTATAATATCTAATATCTATATTAAAATAACTAATTACCGAAACACACAATAAACAACTATTGATCAACACAATAACAGCAAAAAACCTCTTAAAATGAATTTTTTGCGTAATATCATATATAAATGCTCGGAACTTTCTACGATCAGGTCTGGGAGGTAAATGTAAAGGTTGAGCAATTTTCAGTCTTTTCTTCAAATCACACCTGCAATTAATCAATTTTAAAATAACCTTTCAGTATGTAAAGCCTTATGTATTACCATCGTCTTTGATCTACAGTCAGTAATGCAGTTCCTTTATTTTCAGAATAGTTAGCAATTACAACACCAACAAATAAAGTGAGTCCAATCATACATCCCAAGAATATAAATATATGAATATAAATTGCATGAATCTAATAAAATAAAAATAATTAATTTTACAATATTATAATAATATACATTTGTAATAATAAATAACATCATGCTTTCACACTAAATGAAAAATACTGTATTTAATCTTTTTCTGAGCATAAAACAAATTATCATAAAAATAAAAATGAAGCTAGGAAGCGCATATGAGAATCAAATAAAATCCAACCAAATAGGTATTAAATTTCAACTCAAAAATTTAACAAATCCAGGTTCCCTTAGACTGTCATAGTAGCCAATAAATATTGGAAAAATAATTTTTTATAGCTGTAACATTAAAAGCTCATTTTCTCATTACACTAAAAATATATAAGTAATATACAATTCCAGCCAAGCTTTGATTCTATTTCGGGGCTAAACCCCTAAGCATTTTCTTAATGAGAAGTTTCAAAGATGCATGCCCGATCATGGCAAACAAATTAAACATTACTGGTCCCAAAGCGCTGATTAGTATATCACGGACATCCAGCCAGCCTTTGAATGATAACACTTCAAACAGCGTCAGCATTGCGTAGCCTATATTATCGAAATTGAACCTCCTCGGGTTCGCCCTTCATTGTGAATACATAGTTCCTCAATTTGTTTTTTTTCTTAGAATTTTATTAAAATGTACCCGTGGGTAACATATAGTTAAAGAGTTTCATATTTACCAAACTCTTGGCACCAAAATAGCAGGAAAAGTTTCATTTGGTCCTGGTTGCATTTTCATTTTTGTTACATAAATTTGACGCATAAAAACTCCAGTACAGAGTGCACGGTCTTTAATAGTTGGATCATTACATCGAGCTAAACGACCACCAAAAATTTGAACACCATAACTGGCAAATACAAACATCAACACAATCAATAGTACAGATACCTAAAAACAAAAATATAAATACATTTGATTCAATTTGATTTAAGTATAACGTTTACTAACCAGTAAAATTTCTTTAAATCCACGACAAAGTTCATCAACTACTTTTCTCATGTGTGGGACTAGTGAGAATATACGTAGTGGGCGTACACATCGGCAAATCATTAGTAAATGAGCTGATGAATTTGTAGCTACATTGGTTGGCATCCAACATAAAAATACTAAACTTGTCTAAAATAAAACAAATTGAATATGAAACATAATATAAAATGTTAAAATATACAACTTACCACATAAACAAATATATCTAATATAGCAGCAACATCTTTCATATATGCTTTTGGTGTAAAAAAAACTCCATCTGCCAAAATTTTTAATGCTAATTCCATACTCATGAAGCAAACAAATACATATTCAGCTATTTGCAAAGCTGGAGTTTCCATTACACGATACAAAGGTGTTTCAAACATCATTGATATACAACTTAATGTGGTCACTAATATCATTAACCAATCCAAGTAAGTTACTAGTCCCAAAAAATTGCTGTAATTAATTAAAATGTAATTAACTATATATTTTATGAAATTACTATTTTTCCTTTTTCAACCTGTGTCTCATGATTAACTAACACCACAAGCCACTGTATAATTATTATAATAGGTATATTTATATTAATTTTATTACTATTATCAATATTTTTCTTTTGTTACAGAAGTTGAGCATAGCATAATATAAAATACCTAAAACTATACATAGACTCAGATGTTAAATGGATGATTAATAATAATTTAGGGTGTAATAAAAAATGATAGCAAACTAAGAGAATATAATTTTTAACTTACTGAAACCCTTTATATTTAACCTGGCGCTCTTCTCCCGTAAGTGGATCTCTTAGTTTCAGATCATATCGAGCATATACAATTAATTGACATAATTTACGAAATTTTGATTCTCTCGGAACAATAAATAAAGGGGTGTCAAACAATGGATGATTCTCTCTTAAATCTTCCTCTCGTTGATTGCGCCTCATTTCTGCTTGCTGTCGTTTAGCTTGCAATAACTTGATATCAAGATCATGGGGCCTAGCTCGTGTAGCTGTAGCTAAACGATTCATGCCACCTATATCTCCATTTTCCATGAGGTGTTCATATGTCTGTTTGAGTTTCATTGATCCACGACGAATACTATGTCTCATAGATCTTGATATCATTAAAATATATAAATTTATTAATAATTATAGAATAATTCAATATTTATAAACATTAATACTTTTTGTGATCCATGCGTGTATGTTGCATATTATTAACAGTGCCTTGAGCATGTAAACCACCTTTATTACCAGAATTTGGAGGTAAAAATGTTGAATCTCCCAAAAGTAAACGTTGGTTATTAGAATCACTATAATAATTAACAAATATTGATTATTAAAAACAAATTATTAGTCATAATGATAAAATATTTTGAGCATTTACTTAATTATGTTTGATATAATTGATTTACGAATTTCTGGTGTTACTGTTCGCACTTTTGGTAGATTAGATAATAACCGCATTGGATGCTGTTTACGAGTGATCAAGGGAGGTTTGACTACTTCATTTGTTTTATTTAAATTATCTGTAGAAGTTTCTTCATCACTTTTATCTAAAACAAACTGTCTCATAAAACTTTCACGAACCTAAAAAAATAATTAATCATTCAAAATTAATAATTAATATTATAATTTCTTTTTTTTTTATAGTTTAATTGAAAATATTACTTTAGGCAAATTAAAATCAGATGGTTGCTTATGTATAGACGTCATTTTGGGACGGTCAGGAAATTTTTCAAAAATTCTTAGTCTAAATGGCAGTGTTTCTTTGATTTCAGCACTTTGTTCACGAAAACGTAACTGTTTTAATTTTTTTAATTCTTCATCTAGTTCAAGGTTATCCAAAATCACCGCTACAAAAAGACTTAACACAATCTAATAAAAAAATAAAGGTTTTACCTTATTAAAATTTTCTGAGTTTCAAAAATAGAACATTTTCTTACAAGTGTGACAAACAAGTGATAGAGAATAAAGTAGACAGCAACTAATGGAACTAATGTCTTACGAGTCCTTAACATTGTTTCATCCATGACATCAACCCAAGCTTCTTGAGTAAGAATTTGAAACATGGACATGAAGGCCTATTAAATATAAATACATATTACAATTTTAAATACATTTTAATAAAAGACTTACTTCTGGAAAGGTTTCAAACTTTGGAAAATCACATAAAAAACAAAATAGTTGCATGGAAATCCCAGATGAAATTACTAATAAACATAAAGTAAATATGATAAGGCTACCCAGCTTCTTTCCAGGTCCAAATATCTTGTACACAAAATCTTCTAACATAGGTGAAGCTTTTATCAATCGAACAATTCTTAAAACCTAATCATAATTTAATTAAAATTAAAGTGTAACCTTAAACACTGTTATCTTATTTACTTAAATAACAAAGAATAACAAACCTGAAAATAAGTTAATCCGGATAAATAAAACTGTGGGAAAATATGTAATGTAGTCCCAACAGCTAGCATTAGCTCAAACTTATGGTATGAGTGTTTGAAATATTCTTTAAATCCAAGTAAAACCATTTTAAATAATGTTTCAAAGTTAAATATTATTGTATAAACAACCTGAAATAAGATAGAAAAGTAAATATTTAACTTACAATAAACATTAAAAAATGATTACTTCAATATAATAGTATTGTTCATAGAATTCTTCTCTTTTCCGTCCATCATGTTTAAAATTCATTGTCGCCATAGCAATTCCATTACTTAGTATAATGCACATGACAAGTAATCTAAACCAAGCAGAGTTAAGAATTTTATGTCCTAATGGTGATGCTAAAGTTCGATGTTTATTCTGTTCAGGAGTAACTAATCTCCAACCATTTTCATCACTAACTAAAATCTAAAAGAGTGTTATAAATATATATTATATATATATTACTATAGAACATTTGGTACACACAAATATTCAATTTAATAAGCACGTATAAATGTTTATAATCTTACTTCAGTGGAAGTTTTGTTTCCAACATGTCTTCTACTTCCCCACAATTGTTGAAATTGCACACGCATTTCATTAAATGTTTCTGTAATTACTGCAATAAACACATTCTTAACTAACCATGCTAAGAAGAATATTAATGTAGAAAAGTAAAAAATTGCTCTCCAGGCTGGAAGACTATCAAATGTTCGGAACATTATGTACACCCAACCCTCTTGAGATGCAGCTTGATAGACAGTGAAAATACTTGTTGCTAAAAAATACAAATATTCATGTTTAGACATTCAAAGTACCTATACATATTTAATAGTAAAAAAATTGCTTAAAAGTATACATTTTTAATAATTTACCAAACTCATCGAATCCACTGAACCCAGTTATGTACCTTGACAGCTCTAATTTCATACATTTCATACCTTCAGGACACTGATATCCAGCACCTGGTTCCTTAGAACAGAATGAGTCTGGTATGGCTAAATTATTAAGAGTAACACGCCTGTTGAGTAATTTAAAACATTATTATGTAACATATACTGTAATAAATACATTTAAAATGATGAATTACGTTGGATCTGTTGTATTAAGAACACAATGGTTTTTCATTTCCCCAAAAAGTTGAACACCGAGTACACCATACAAAGACATAAAAAACAGGAAGAACAGTGTTACATTGTAGATTTGCTGACTTGAACGCCTAGAAGAATTAAATAAAATGTAGTTCAAACATGTAAAAATATATATATATTAAAATTTAGTACTTGAAAATTTGATTTATCCTAGATTTTGGCATTGAGAATTTTAGGAAGACACGTATAAATCGAATCATTATGAAAGGCCTTGGTGCTCGTAGTATTGATAAGTAACTAAATTCTGGTAAAAATTCCACAATTTCAAAAATTTGTAAAATTACAGACACCCAAAGGAAAAATGCCATAGTGCCATCAAATTGACACCAGTGATCTTTCATATAAGGTGATTCTCCCTGAAAAAACATTAATAATAATACATAAATCATTTGGCACGTCAAAAAATCACTAATACCTTTAATATCCCTCGAATGTGCATTTTTGCTATCATTTCGGCAGTGTACAGGCCGGTGACAGCAAAATCGCATATGAACGTCGCATACTGTAGAAATGGAAAAGCCTTAAAAGTTTTTGGAGTGTTGAGACTGACGCAGAGTAAGCTCAGAAGCGCACAAAAGCGCATCAAACGTCGGACCCAAAGCTATAGAGATCAAACATGTACGGTTGATTTAGAAAATATTATTATGTTCGCGAGGGCTGTAGAATTTACCTTATTCACCCAATCGATTTCAGCGTTCTCATTTAGAGATTCATCCTGAACATAGTCAGGAGCCATTATATCCGCCCGAATGCTTTGTTTACGGCCCAACATGCCTCAAATTGCCTCACATTTTCGCTTTTGATCCAAACCTAAACCTCAAGAGTCTAGACTCCAAACTTCGGAGAGTTGCTAATTGTTAGCGGCTATAGATTTTGAAGTGAATTTCAGTATACTCAATTTGTAAACGTTATTCTTTATCGTCCACTCGAATCTCGGATTGATTATTTTATTTTTCGATGATAACGGAAAACCCTTGATAACATTATCCTACTCCGTTCAAACCGCGGGATCGTGGACGAAAAGATAGACTACAGCTGTGCTACGAATCGAAGCCTACGATCACAGAACACTACAGTCCACTGTAAAATACTGCTGAAGTGCTTAAGTACCGAATTATATTTTGGCAATTTATTCATCGAATAAGACTTTTCTGACATTGAAAAACCTTTTTTGTTATCCGGATAAAATTGTTTGATAAACCGATTTCAACAACTTATACTACAAGACTATGAACTATGAATTAAAATTTTAAATCGTGCTACGAACTATATTATGAAATGACTGCTAACATAAACATGTTTTTTACAGCCAACGATATATAACTATTTTTTTTTACGACATCACAGATTTACAGCAATACAGCCTGCTTTGGCTTATTTATATTATGATCACTCAATCACTGGCGGTTAGTGGTTACTAATTTTTAACCGGTACTTGGTACTCGGTAGTCGTTACTATTATTGTTCTATGATTATAATTTATAGTATTGTTCCATTATGTGGGTAGAAGTGAAGAACACAACTACTGTCTACCATGCAGATGCAATAGTAAATTCCCTTATCTATGGTCACGAACGCACGGCCTAAGTTGGAAAACCGGCAACGTCGCGTAGTCTCCTCCACTAGAACAACTCGACAACGTTAGGTCGACCACAAGCTGCGCCAATCGAAGCCGTCGCCGCCGGTGCACAGCGCGGAGCGAGTAATCCGGACGTTTTTTTCAAATGAAAAAAAAAATCGCTTCAAAGATAAAAGTTTGCCGACTGACGACTGTTACAGTCGAACTGCAGTACTTCAATGCGTTCATAATTTTCGTGATCGTCCCGACTAACCCGTGTTCGTTCCAAAATTAATTATTGTTAATGTTTTTAATTAATTAACCGTTTTCGTTTTTGTAGTTTACATTTTCCAAATTATTTGACGATACCTTAATACATTAATTGAATCAACTGATAATATAATCGCATCACAAAACTGTTATCCCAGGCCGTCTTGGCCAATTTTTTTTCGGCCCTAGACCGACGTGCTTAGTATCCGTCAGAAATATTACAATATGTGGAACGACGGTTACCATCATCACAGTTGCAACAGAAACGGTATATGTTCGTTCTACAGAAGGAGGCACGTTTACAGAGACTTTCAGTCGAAAATGAAATCCGTCGAACAGAGTACGCCGTTACCTATAATGCAGGTCAGTGTGACGTGTGACAATAATAATAGTATATAATAGTTATTAATTAATAATCAGTTAATCAGTAAATGTGTGAACGGCCGGCGGGTAGAATATAATTGTTGTCGCAAAATGGTATATTATTAACATATTTGCATTAAATAATAAATATCGGTCGTACACCATCGGCATGACCAAGTTTGGTTCGGTCCGGGGGCGGACCACCGCGGACCGGTTGCAACTTGTGGTGACCGGGTCGCGTAGCTATTTGCTAGGTGGGAGGTTAGGAGGAGTAGGCGGTGGCGTTCTGTTTTCGCTTTCTTTCTGGTCGGCAAGTTCTATTTGCGGTCCACCGAGTACGGGTTTTCACGTGTGTTTTTCTGTATTATTATTTTAGTCTGCACTCTTGCGATGATAATGACGTTCGGTCTCATGCGTAATAAACAATAATAGAACAATAATATTATTAGTGATGGGCATAATCGAATTATTTCTATAATCGAGTTATTAGTAATCGATATATTATTATAATCGAGTTATCACTCGAAATAATCACTCGAAATTTACGATTGATATTACTAATATTAGTTATTACATATAATCGATATACATATTTTCATAATCGAATCATCAATCGAAATAATTACGCAAAATGTTCAATTAATATGATAACTTGGAATAGTATTAGTTTGTTATTAATAGGTATTCGTAATAGTCAAAATGATCAATATAAATAAAAATGTGCATAAATCATAATCTCATTTTTTATTTAAACATTTTAAACGTTAACCTGGCAAATTATTTTAGACATAAATAATAATAGTTACTAATAAATTTAACAATTGTAATTACTTAAATAAATTTAAATTACTATTTAAAAAAATTATATAATCTAGATTTTTTGAAGTTAATCTGCTCCGACGGTCGTTAGTTATTTGCCCCGTTTTTGAAAATACTCGTTCCGAAGGAACTGATGTAGCCGGTATACATAAATACTTCAGTTGCATTTTATATAACTCTGGAAAGGTATTTTTATGCTGCTTCCAGAAATGTAATGGATTTTTTTTCCTATCCAACAGTGGCATTTCTAAATATTGGCGAATAATCAAAGTTGAAGTTGTAGATGGACTCGACGAAGATTGAACTTGTGAAACTTTATTATCAAAATGATCCCAAATTGAATTACTTGTATCAGAAGTTGATGCTGTTGTTGTAGACTGAATTTTATTTACTTCAGTATTATAAATATCGTTATTTGCACATATTATCATCGGTGTTAGTTCGTCTGATATCCATTTTTGTACATTATTAGCATTTTCGAGTAATCCAAAAGCAGTTTTTTTAAATCTAGGATCCAAAAATGTTGCTTTTGCAACAATCTTATTCTTTTCTAAATGCCCCAATCGCCGATTGACTACATCTATTAAGGTAGTTTTAAATGCTTCGCCTATAGTATTTTTTATTTGTACACTTTTTATTATATGTTGTAATATATTTATTTAAACGGATATTAACCCTCGGGCACCTGCACGACGGCACTCTATGCCGCATATTATTCAGTAAAATGTATACGGATTCAAAGTTTATTGTTATACCGCTAGATAACAAACAGGTATCATATCTAAAGATATCAGGCTACTTTATCGCCAATACGCGGAATTTATTGCAGTTTAAGTCATTTTTACTTGATATGAGACGCTGAAAGCAGGTATTCCTATGCAATAACGTACACCGTACACAACAATAATAATAACATAGTGCACCATGATTAAAATATAAATATTAAGTAATGACTAATATAAAATATTATTCATTCAATTCTTTAGTTTTTACCGTTTACCCTGTTCGGAGTTTTGAACTTAGGATTCTAAAAATAAAGTTTCGAATAAGGTACCTCAGTAGTCGAGTAACGAGTACTCGAGTTACTATAGTTCGAGTGAAAAATCACTCGGTTACATAATCGATTATTATTTTAATAATCGAGATATCTCGATTATTATCAACAATCGAGTAACTCGATTATGTTCACTCGATTATGCCCATCACTAAATAGGAGTTATAATTATTATTTGTATTTATTGGTCGTTATCGCGTTCCAGCCGCTACGGTGCAACGAAAAAATCAAAATATAATATTGGTTTTTGCTAATTTATACTTCAGAGTGTCGCGCCATGGAAACCGTACCTTTACCGTTTTCGTATGGCACAACGATACGTAAATTATTTTTAGAAGTACAATTTTAAACGACAAGCAATAATTATATTGTACAACGTTAAATTACGGCAGCATTATATTGATAATGATATCAACAAATTGTTGTGTCCCGAACCCAAACGTTCTTACTTCATAGTTCATATTATAATACCGTTGAAAAACTATCACTGATAACAGCTGCTGATGCATTTCAGATGTGATAACGTATAAGTGATGCCGATTTATTTTAGGTTTCAATATTATAATATACAAGTTGTAGGTAGTCAGTTCATTTTATAATATACCCGCCCACGGTGGTTCCTAATCCTGTTGCATAGTTTTGTAATTTTGAAGATGTTATTTATAAATAGGTCAAATTGTTTTCAGTCTAGATACTTAAACAAGTTTAAATAAAAATACTTAGCCGTGAATCCTTACTAAATTCTTGTCTCGGAACACCGCCCGTCTTAATCTACTTTTAAACTAACTGATGTACAATGCACCGCTAATGACACCTGAATGGCGGGTCCATGAGCTTGGATGATAATATTTTTTAATTAATGTTAAGCTACGATCAATGTGTTGAGTTATGTAATTTAATAGTTTTTTTAAATCCTCGACAATGTACTTATATATTTTCATAATATTTGGTAACTTGAATTAGGTATGTATGAATAAAATGATTATTATTACTTAGTATTATAAAAAAAAATGTCATAATATTTATTATATTTGATTTCAATGTATAAATATTAAATATTCCAAAGCAGACGATGAAATAAACATCGTTCTCACACTTTTAGAGTGTTAAATATTACGTATTATAATATGGTAAGAAATACGTAGTTTTTATGGTTTAATTTCATGATAATGTTTCGCATTGAAACTAATGCTGTAATTATGTAATTTATACACTATTACAGTAAAATTGATTTAGTAATAGTTAATGCATTTTCAAAGAGGTAATTTTGTTTTATAATGATCCGCTGCGTGAGGGCCTAACCAACCTCCTATTGTACAAAACCTAAGTTTGTGTAAAAAATACATATGAAAAATGTAAGAGAGAATTTTTGAAATATTCGCATAATATTCCAAGTTATCTTCAACAATAATAACAACTTTAAAGATGGTCAACAAAAATATCTCGATGGTTCTACATCAAAATTATTTTTCGTCTAAAATAATCAACCTACCAAGTTTGCAGAATATTTATAACAAAAATTGTAAGTCCCAGTTCTGTATTGTTCGTTGTTATGAAATTGGATAAATCAAAAATATAGATCGTGTCAGTGACCTGGCTGTTTAGGTATATCAATAATTATTTATTTTCTGTAAAATAGTATTAATTTGATGGTTAGTCATCAATTACTAAAATATTAAATTTAATTCGTTACATTAACTTTATGAAGAAAATATATTTTATTAACCTATTTCATCTTCTAAAATAAAATACGGTACAATTTGCAACCTAAGTGTTTATGTAATGTGCTGCTTGTTAACACCTTGCCGACAAAACAAATAACAACACTAAAAAACCGCAATTTAATTTTTTTTTCAAATTTGGCGATGTTTATGAGTCGGTAAAAAATTGTTCATGTGGATCTTGAAAAAAACTACCATACAACCGATCATACATGATACAACTGTAAAATTAGTTTTGGAGGATAATATTAATATTCCGGTTTATACCTATTCAAGACCGTAGCCAGAAAAATATTTAGGGGGGTTTTGAGTATAAATATGTTATATTATATAATAAAATATGAAAATATGAAAATTATAATTTTAATTAAATTAATCTATATTTAAAAAATAATTAAATCTTATTAAAAAAAAATATATCCGGGGGTATATAACCCTGACCTTGTACCTATTACATTTATCTATTTTCATAAGTTTAACAAATTGTCTACTGATAAATCTCTAAATCCTGTGAACTTGAATTTTTATACCATTAAAATCGCTTAAAAATTAAAATCTATTTAGCGGCCTGATGTCAGTCAGTTATAACAAACAAAACAAATAAAACATTTTAATTATTCTTAGTTCTATTTTTATAGATTGTCCTGTATAGACTATACGTATATTTAGGCATGCCACTTAACCAATACTCCTAGAGTAAAATTGGCAAATTATCGAGGGACAGCTGTGAATATTATGTATTAGCACTGCATTATATAAGCATACGTCATTTTTAAAGTACTATTTCATCAAATGCCGTGACCTCTAATTGAGCACACTATTACGAGTAAATGAATTAAGCGATATTTACTTAGCATTTAATTATTTTCTTTATCAACTTGGTTAAAGTTCTAATAGTTTAAAGCTTAAGTTACTCTTCGTTGAAAGTTCAATCTTAGAGATAGAAGTAATATATTTACAAAGTTTTCTGTTTAAGACAAAAAGTTGGAGTAATAACATTATTTATTTCAACTTTATAACATTATACTTAACATTTATTAGTTAATACTCATTACCTACTCCCTGTAAACAAGATAGTGGTGGAAGTAGAGTTTAACTACAATTTAGATTGTTAGTTGATTGTTATCACAATTAATTAAAATTAAATATAATTAAAGTATTTATTAAATTATAAATGTTACATCTAAGTATTTGACTGGGTGCTCTGGCTATATAAATACATTTTTTTTACATACATCAATTATATTATTTTTCTTTCCGCTTATTAGTACGTTCCTTGTTTAATTGTCATTTGAACTGGTGTATTAAAAATTGATAACAAAAAAGGTTTAAAAACTAAATGTTTTATTCAACATTAAACTATTTTTATTATACTTACTATTTATTGACCACTGGCACCTTATGTT